ACCATACCCCAACTCTGGAAGACTTCCGCCTTAAAACTGCAACCCTGCAACCGTTTGATAACTGGGCTACGCCGTGTAACATAACAGTAGGCAATCCGCCCTGCACAAAGTGACCCTACTTGATGTAGGATTTCTCTATTGTTCCTCAGATTACACTGCATTGTGGTTATCGACGCGTCTCGTGTGACAATTATTATCATCCGCGAGCTGTTGTCATGGAAACAGAATCTCTCTATCTCCCTTTGCACCCTGCGCGGTCTTGCCCTCCTGCAACGGATAACAGACAGACGCTGGAACAAACTCGGTTCCAGTCACTCGTCTGCGTGCCTCCTCTCTGGAACCAGTCATTGAATTGATGGAAAACAATGACACGATGACGCTTACATGTGTACACGCCAAAATGACGAGCTCTGTTTCCGTCTTTTTTACCTCGATTCGCCTTGTGAAGTCACGGAGCTTGAGACAGAATGTTAGCATGCACAAGCTGTTTTTATCCGGACCGCTAGAAAGTCATACGTGCTACTTTTTTAGCATTGTCATCATTCTTATCCCCATCATCATCATTATCAATGCGTTTATCCATCTGAGAACACAGTCACTTGTTTCCATGACGAGCTCTGTTTCCGTCTTATTATTAGTGTTCTGTCTGACGACAGGTCCATATGAACAGGATCCTTCCATCCTTTTCTCGGACTGGGACCTGTTCATATACGTTCTTGGGAGATGATCCAGAAGTGGTTTGCCATTGCCTTCTTCTGTGTGTGAATGGAGTAATTGTTGGGATACCACGGAGAAACCGGGGAAGCCCCCGGAGGAAAACTCCGTGTTGCCTAGACCACGGCCTTGCCCAACACAAGTTATAAATCTGAGCACTACCGGGAATTGAACCTGAGACCCCCCAGGGTTACAAGGCTAGCGTTCTGACCGCTAGATTAAAATTAGACCGCATAAAAATGAGCCAAGCGTCATTTTTTTTTTCCAAGTGCTAAATAGAGTGTTTTAACATCAGGATTGTTGTTACACAAACCGAAGAATACTGAAAGGAAATGAAAGTTTAGCAGAAATTTCATCTCTAAAGATGACCGAATGTTAACGTGACGCGATACGGAATACAGAGGAAAGCGATCAGAGGGCTGCAGCCTGCACAAATAAGAAATGTGCAGTCATCAATCTTAGGAACTCGCATTCCATCTTGTCTTCTTCCATCAGATGCTGTCACAAATATCAGTCACAGGAACAAAACTTTCAACGGGATTTTCTGCCAGATATGTCTTCTTAAATCTACAGGCAGAGTCCACGATATCATAAATCACTCCAGATGAATGTTAAGATGATATTCGACTCGTAAAAATCTCTTTCGAGTTAAGACGTGGACTGGAGAAGGGAAGAAATTGTGTGCTGTATTATAAATTTGGTTCATACTTGAGGAAAACTGCACAAGATAAAGAATTTAAAACACATTTGCGAGCACTATTTGAAACGAGACAAAACATATTAGAGCTTCAGTTATGCTGCGTATTAATACCTGAAGTTTACAACTGTTTTTCTTTTTCAAGGGACGCACGGAAAACTTCTATACTGATAGATTTTACCTTGTTTTCTCCAGACAGATGCTCAAATAGTACCTTTAACTAGGATTCTACGACTTCCTTCTACATCCTTTCCAGTTCATCATTCATAATTACCCCATCATTCGACGCTACTAACAGCGTCGTTAAATAAGCCACAAATAAAATATTTGATAAGAAAAGCTAAGAAAATTTCGTCATGGAATTTATAAAATTCGAGATGTTACTCCATTGGAGACAGTCATAATACATGAGCCCTACGCATAAACAATATTGTTACTAATTACCATCCTAAAGTCTCCCCTCTAATTCTGTCCTTAATAATGACCAGCTGAAATTGCCTGGGAATCTCCTAAAAACAAAATGCTCTCTGTCTCTAACTTCTTCTTCATAATTTCCTCTTTGGTTATTTTTCTACTCTCCTTTCTAATTCCCTTTCTTTAGGATTCAAAAGTTTAACTAATGACAACACAAGTTACCACTATGGGCAAGAAGACTTTCTCTCACGAGTTTTGTTCATATTAATTATTTGCTTTCGTATCAGCATGAGAGTGAAGTAGGGAATTTTGTCGGCGCACGATGGCAGAATGTACGATACTGGACAGACTGCTCTCAGCACCAAAATTGCGAGTTTCTGTAACAAACGCTAGAATCGCAGAAACTAATAACGCGAGGCAACTCCCTGAAACTCGCTTTCCCTAATTAGCCAGGTCCCCATCTTAAACTCGAGGCAAATGAGCATAACAAAACTACGAGAGAACGGCAACGCGCAAACTCTGTGGGCGAGAAATGAAAAGTCAGCTTCAGAACGAAGCCGCGGGGAAGGCTAGCTCATCGATTACCACATAAAATAACTTTTGTTTGGATCTTCAAAAACGACAGAAGTCTCTCATATGTAATGATCCTTGAGAATGGAGGTCGATTACTTTATAAAGTTTACAGCTTTCTAAAGACGATTTTTTTTAAAAAAAAATTTAACAAGGGTATTGGAAAACTGGGTCTTTTTCTTGATTTCACTAATATGAGTTATTTGATTAGATATTCATGTCCACAATGAATTATCGTTCAGCGTATCCATGCCTTTTTCTGTGTAACTTGAATTAATGAACTCAAGTATCACACAGACAGACTTTGTGGCTCACTGCCGATTATCTGAGGAACTTTCC